TTTTTTTTTAATTTTGGGATACTATAAATTAGTTGCTTTTTTGGAATGTAGTGAATTCCTCTTTTTCTTCTTTTTCGAGTGAGGTTTTTTGGTGGTTCAAGAGTAAGGGAAAGGAAGGAACCAGGAAGAAAGAGGAAAGGAATTTTTATTGTGGTCTTGAAACTGAGAGAGCAGGGAGTGAAGAGGAAGGGAGCATTCCAGCTGCAAATTCAGTTTCTTTCTTTTCTGACTGCATAGAGTTCAAATTAAAATTTAATTTCAGCTTATTTCGACAGTAGCACCAATCAGTTTTGGCGATTTGCGTTCGGCACCGGATTGTCATCCGGAATGTATCGGTTGTACCGAATCACGCTCAGCTGTAAGCTGCTTCACCTGCAAACATCTCACACAGTCGCTTCGAAATCGCGCTGGTTTCAAGTAATTTCTTTCAATTAATTTTTCCGTTATGTTATAAATTGATTAGCTGCTTTTCCCCCTGCCCTCCCCCCTCCCTCCTTTTCCCTTCTGCCACACTCAAACCCCATCACTGGCTGTCGGGTAGCTTTACCCGCCATCACCTGGAAAATTTTCTCGCAAATCGTGTACAAGGCCAGTCGAGCCGAGCTTTAGTAATTGCTCATGTCATCTAGTACCACAATCGTTCAACATACGTCGCACAGATGGCGATTTGGCCCCACTGCTGTCAATTGGTGGCCTTCCTTTAACAATTACTAAAGCGCGACTCAGCTCGGCTCGTCCGGCGTCATACACGACTTGCAAAAACTTTTTTTGGTTGGTGTAGGGTAACGTTACCCCACCCGTGGTAAGATGGGGATTAGTTACGATACCACGGGTAAAATGGGAGTTGGTTAAGAGGGTTTCATGCGCGAGGAATTCGGGCAGGGAAGCGTGAAAATTTCATTGTTTGAATTTCAGGTGCGTAGCGAAATGCGATGAGGGCTATTTCACGGAGGGCGACAAGTGCCGTGCATGTAGTCCGAATTGTAAAACTTGCATTCGTGCCGAGCAGTGCGATACGTGTCCCGGTGTTCAGTTACTTATCGACGTAAATCACTACGGGCATCTCGATCATGGGCAATGTGTTGACGCATGCCCACCAGAACTGGAGCCTGACTGTAAGTACTAATCTTAAGAAATTTTCCTTGAGCTGTGAGAATATCTCTGCAAAGTTTCGAAAAATGTTT